CCGGGCAGGCAGGGGGCAGCCGGGTGGCGGGGCTGCACCAAGGCGAGGAGCCAGGGCTGTGCACGGCTGTGCACGGCAGGGGCGGGGCTGGCTGGCTGGCGGGCGGGCGGGCGGGCGGGCGGGCGGGCGTGGCTGGGCTCACCGCAAAGGCGGCCACGGCAGGTGAGTCGCGCAGGCGAGCCAGGTGCGCCTGCAGCACGCGCCGCACCTCGCCTGCGGGCGCACGGCGGCGGCGGCGGGGCAGGCGGGGACCCGTGAGCGGCTGCCGGCGGCGGCAAGCGGCGGCGCGACGTGCCTGCCTGCCGCGGCGCTTCAGAGGACAGGCAGGCAGCGGATGGGCTTGTGCCTGCAGCCTGCCGTCGCCCTCATGGCTGGCGCCTGCCCCCTTGCCCAGCCCACCTGTCACTCTTGGCATCACGCGTCGCCCAAACGCGGCCATCCGCTCCTCGCGCGTGGCGGCAGCGGCGCCGGGCGCGGGCGTCGGCGCCTCGCCCTCCTGGGCGCCGGCGCCGGCGCCGGCAGGTGCGGCGGCCTCGCCCGCCGCGGCCAGCGCGGCCGCGTGCTCCGCTCGCATCGTGTGCAACACCTGCAGAGTCTGCCGCACCGCCGCCTCGCCCACCTCTCGGCTGATGGTCGCCACGTCGAGCGAGGCAACTGCGGGGGTGTGCGGGAGTGTGGGGTTGTGGGTTGTGAAGTTGTGGGCAAGGGGGAGGCAGGGGCTGGGTGCAAGACAGCAGCTGGGGTGTCTGCCAACGGCTGCGTACGCAGTGTGCCGCAGCAGCATGCTCCGCTCAAGCAGGGCCAGGGGCCAGGTGCAGGTCAGGTGCCTGAGCTGTGCTGCGCGGGCGGCTCACCCGAGGTCTGGCGCAGGGCGCTCATGATGCCCCCAAACTGCCCCAGCACCTCCTGCTGCGCCTCGGGCCGCACCCCCAGCTGTCCCAGCAGCAGGTGGGCCATGCCAGCCAGCTGCGGGGGCAGCCCGGCGGGCTGCTCGGCGCCGGCGGCGCCGCCGCCGATGCCGCCGTCGGGCGCGCCGCCGCCCACGGGGACTGCCGCCGGTACCTGCTGGCCCTGGGGGGCCCTCAGCTGGATGCGTACCACCCGCTGCTGCTGCTGCTGCTGTGGCTGCTGCTGCTGCTGGTCAGCGCCAGCATCGGCGCCGGCGCTGGCGCCGGCACGAGCGGCGGCGGCGGCGGGCGCCTGCCCGGCTCCCGGGGCGGCCGCGGGAGGCGCCGCGCCGCCCATCTGGCCGCCCATCTGCCCACCCATCTGCCCACCGATCAGCGGGCCCAGGATGCCGCCCAAAATCTGCTGCCAGGGCGCCATGCCTGGCGCGCCGCCGCCGCCCGGCGCCGCGCCCGGCACCGGGCCGTGCCCCACAGCAATGTCCACCACAGCAGGCATGAACGCCACGCGCTGGGGGCGGGGCAGCGCCACGCGGGCAGAGCCATCTGCACGGCAGCCACGGCAGGCAGGCAGGCAGGCAGGCAGGGGTGAGCAGGCAGGGGCGTGCGTGTGTGGGGCATACACGCATCCCCTGCCCAGCAGCAGCCAGCAGGGCAGCGTGTGTGTGTGGGGTGCGCAGCCGCGGCCGCGTCCCGTGCTGCCCCTGACAGCCGGCCAGCTGCAGCGCACCCCCCAGCCAGCTGCAGCGCACCCCGCAGGCAGCCGGGGCTCCCACAGGCACCCACCCACCCTGCACAGACAGGTAGCCGGGCTGCACGTGTGTCAGGTACACATTGCGCTGCTCCACGCCTGCGCAGGGCAGGGGCAGGGGCAGGGTGGCGGCGGGCGTCAGGGTCAGGGTCAGGGTCAGGTGCGGGGTCGGGGTCGGGCAGGGGTGGCGCAGGGGCAGTGCCGATGCCAGGGCGAGCGGGGCCCGAGCGCAGCGCCGCAGCGCCGCAGTGCCGCAGTGCAGCTCAGAGCAGTGTGGTGCGCTGGTTCCGGCTGCGCCGCAAGCACGCCCCGCTGCCCGCACCCGACCCTGACCCTGACCGTGACGCCCGCCGCAACCCTGCCCCGGCCCTGGCCCTGCGCAGGCGTGGAGCAG